TATATTTTGTGACGCTAAAGCCTCTCGATGAATAAGATTCTAGAGCTTTTTGTCGAATTAAAGCCTGGAAGCCACCGTACTGACCAGACATAGCTCGAGCTCCATCTGTACACACGCCCAAACAGATTTCCCATTTAATATTATTATGATCCATAAAATTATTAGTGATATCAAATAGGTCTTTAGCTTTAGTACCACTTAATATAGATTTACAAAATAATAATTCTTCTATAATATCTTTTCCATCCATAAACCGAACATAACATATTAAATATGCGTCTTTATTATTATCGGTTACTTCATCAAGCTGAATCACGAAATTTGTATTTCTTAATTTATCAATAAGCTGATCATTTATATTATCTGAGATATCTTGAATTCGCCGACTACTAGTATTATTAGACAAAGGTATATTTTTAAGTAGGTTTGCTACAGATTCTCCTATCAGAGTAGAAACCATTTCTAATGCTGACGGTAAAATAAGTTCTTTGGCAATCGTATGAGGTTTTTTGCGTYGTGCAATACGAAACGCTACTTTATATGAAGCCAAAAGATCTTTARATGGAACGCTTGTCTGTTTAACGAAACTAGAAGATTGTTTTTCTTTGCAAGTTGTCTTACAAAATAATCACGTTATTATTTAATGTACTAGGATTAGTCTCCAAATTACGTTTTAATTTGTTGGGTACCATACTATCAGCAGCTAATACTTTCAAACAAATAATACACTTAGGACGTTCTTCGTTATCTATTGTAATATAAGTAAAACCAAAATCAGTAAGTAATTATTATCATATTTTCTAAACTTAYGTTTATTTTCTTCTTTACAGTTGTCTTCATTTTGTTTACGTTTCGATTCAATATTAACAAATTTTTCCATATTAATGATTGAAATAAAATAAAGTATTACGAATAAAGTTAGAAAAATGTACGCTCATCTATTACACACTACGTCACTACGAGAATACGACAGTTATAATACTGAATTACTGTAATTATTTTGTAATAAACGTGTGTCGTGTATGGATAAGATAAGATGATTGTTTCTACAAAATCTTTATCAGACATAAAATTCTAAAAATAACAATATATAAAAAATTCCAACCACGTACCGCGCCGCCCTTGTTAAGTGCTGCGCCACCTTCGGGTGGCGCGCCACGCAGTTTGGAAACCACTGAATTCTATCCATTAAGAGATTGCACTTTAGGCAGACCTAAATTTTTCTGCGTATACCCACGCGACGCCCTACCGGAARAGAATAGGTTTCGTTACCACAACGAGACACGGGAGATGCGCAGTATAGATAGCTTAGACTGGAGTCTCATAAAAATAAGCGAATATAAAGTTGGTACTCCCAGTGCATTTCAGTTATACATCGGTCTAGGTACATCTATATGACTACGTGTACCTACTTTAAATGGCATGAACTTTCACAGCTTTTTTTGTAATAATACAATTGTTATATTATGTCTTTATGGATCAATTTCAATTATCATGTAGTTAAAAGCGCTCATGTGCGTAATAAATAAGTATGCAAGTTAATTTATTACTTAAAAGTAGAATATTCATGTAGGAGTTTAAGTAGGTAGGTATGTTATAGGTGTTTTTTATTATTTTACAATGTCATATCAGTACCAACCCTAATTATAGTTATGTCTAAAATCATATTAATAAAATGGGCTTCGTATAAAATAAAAATTATTGTCCAACAATGGAATCAATTACATATAGTCAACAAACTGTACAAACAATTGAATATAAATTAATTATCAGACTGAAATTCAAAGCACGAATATAAAATGTTATTGCATTATACCGCGAACTATTCGCCTGCGTATCGGCACTTAATAACGGCTATAGTTGACGTAATTAACAATATTAAATTAATGGACTAATAATAATCACCAAGATATACCTATAATATATTAAAATATTACGTCTTCGTTCTTATAGCTTCAACAAAMGTATTGGTTAGATTATTTTAAAACTACCAACCAACAATCATAATATTTTAGCCAGATATATAATGTAAGTACATTGTTTGTTTTTATCTCTAAATCAGAAGATTTTGTATGACACACAATAGTATCTTTCAATATACACACTAATTTTTTTATTTAAAACGACGGCGACGATTGGCGGAAGTTACAAGACAAAGCATAATGTATAAATATAGTATGATAATAATAATAACAATAATTTTAAAAAAAACATACATAATGCATCAGTTAACTTACTATATAGATGTAAGTAATATTTTATAATTTAACGGATAAGAAAACAAATATAACTGAATACTATCTTAACATGTATTGTAGCATATAGTATAACAGAATTAGGAAAGTTATCATTGAAACAAGACAAATCAGTATAATATATTATTTATGGCTGGTTGATAAAAATGATGATGATATATTATAACAATAACTTATATGATTGATTAAATTAAGTTCGTCGAGTAATATGCGATCGTCTAAAAATATACCTAAATAATTTAATTTTAATATATAATTAATGTATATTTCGTGTTAAATTATATTAAAATTACGATCATTGCGCTGTCATAGCGGACACAACGCGTATATAACATAAGTTAATGTATAATATTATTCTATTGGGACTGCGAGTGTTCGGCTTAGACCAGACGCAGAGAAGAATTAGTGTTACTGATACATTTTATTAGAAAACAAAGAGCTGAATACCAAAACCGTCGGATGGACTTGTTGCCTAGTAAAATGTATCTGATTGCCAACACGACAAACACAATTTGGCTAGTCCGGTGCAGGTAGTACATT